TATAAGGAGGAAGTTCTTTACTGTGAGGGTGGTGAGGCACTGGAATGGGTTGCCCAGGGAAGCTGTGAATGTTCCATCCCTGGCAGTGTTCAAGGCCAGGTTGGACAGAGCCATGGGTGGCATGGTTTAGTGTGAGGTGCCCCTGCCCATGGCAGGGGGTTTGGAACTAGATGATCTTAAGGTCCTTTCCAACCCTAACCTATGATACTATGGTTCTAACCTCAGAGAACAAATCCTAATGAAGAGGGAGTGGAATAACACTGCTAACTTTTTTTAACTGTTATTTATCAGACAGGCCATGCGTCTATTCGAAATTAACGACAACGTTAGTCAAAAAAATCTCCTTAAATCCACTGAAGTCAATAGAAAAGAGGATCTGGCACTGAAATGCCTACTGAGTCTGATTTCATGTCTGACTGAGAAGGCTGATTTGGGATTTGAAAGGATAGTCCATACAAAACAGGGTAGCCCAAATGTTGTGTTAAAATACAGAATCATTTTTTCCTCCCTGTTCCCACTCTTGCAAGACATTGGTGGGTGGGGTAAATGATGTATGGCTCTTTCCTCCCTGGGATGCCTCTGCTGCTGGCTGGCGGCACCACAGCGCTCCTTGGAGCAAGAGGAATTATTTTCGTAACATCTGCCTACGTGAGGGTCCTGGAATTTGCATCTTCCCTGAGCCTGCTTTAGCTCACCTCCCTGCCTTCTTGGCATTCCCCTCTCATCCAGCAGATAAGAGCACATTTCCAGAACCAGTTTTGCAATTACCCATCTTCTCAGTTTTCTTTCCTGACCTTTAAAGGGGATGCACCGAACAAATGCCTTTGTAGGAGAGCCAGACTTCCTGCTGGGTGGCTATTTCAAAGGAGCAAATATGATCTTTTCATAAATACCATGTCAGGCCCATGTAACTTGCAACTTATTTATTACAGTCCTAATGCACACCGTGGAAGCCAGGGCTAGTGTTGCAGAAGAACATCTATCTAAAGCATTTCAGAACTGTGAAGCAAGGTAGACAGCTAAATTTTTGTGCAAGCTGCTTAGCAGCTGTTGAATTTAGCTTTTACCTGAGTTTTGTGAAGCATTTAAAACTATTCAGAGTTTAGAAGGAAATGATAAAAGTATTGCAGCCTGTGAATTATTTGTGAAGCATCTGGTCTTGGCATTCAAAACCCAAACTGGTCACACAAGTACATGGACAGAAAACTCGCCAATGACACTGAGTGTAACAGTTTGCCACCACTGACCAAATATTTCAAGCCTCCTTCAAAGCCTTTTGGGGTTCACATGTCCCCAAAGGTCTCACCTGAACCAGACAGAAAAAAACATTAGTTGAAAGCTTACCCATCTTTCCCGTACTTCTCTGGCTGTTATGAAATCCTCAGGGGGCTAAAAATAGCCCCTTTTCTTTCTTTGGTGTGCGGTGTGTATCGGCTCCACACTTCAGTCACCAAACCTGGCCAGAGCGAGGCCAAAAAAAGCCACTTGTTTTACTGAGCAGCTTGGCATGGACCTGGGGTGCCCTTACCCAGGTGGCGATCAAAAAGTAGTATTTGTTGAGAAGCACAGCAGGATCACAAGCATTACAGCTTCGGTTGACCCCTTTATTTCCCAAATACAGCAGTGTAAGGGAGGATTATGAACAGTGTGGAAGAGCCATGAATTCAGAGCATCACACCCCAAAGCTGGCTTCCCTGTTATACATGTATAGCATAAATAGCTAAATCTTCCTCTGCTCATCTGTCTCTCTCTGGTGCTCATGTGTGTGGTAGATTGCGAATCTTCAGGAGGTGGTGGGTCCCTGTGCTTCAATGCAGTTGTGTACATTTTGCTCGTAGTTTCTGTGATGAAAATTTATCACGTAGCTTTAACAGATTAGGGCCAAGTAATTTATACTTAGTGGAAGCAAAGAAACCAGTTCAGCATTTTTTCAGTTGCATTGAGTGCCCCTTGGCATCTTTACAGGGCTGGATACTTCTTAAACATGTGGCTCTAAGACCTTTGGTGGAAGCAATAGAAAATCTTGCTATTTGTCCTTAAAATGAGAGAATGACCAAGGTCCTTTCTGCCTGCTGTCACCCCATTCAAAACTGATAGTGTTTGATACATCCTGAGACAATAGCGAAAGTATGAGGATAAAACAGTTAACAAGCAAACTGCATATCACTTGCTCCACTCTGTACTTCATGGATAAACGTGCACAAACAGATCTTAGCCTAAAAAGTTCTGATGTAACACACACCACCACTGAGGCTGAAAATGCTTCTGTACTCTTCATTTCACGTGGTCTGATTTTGTTTACTGAGACACTGTAGGTGCTGGCATTTGATGCTTAGCTTTCACTTTCAAATCTGAATTTCATAATTAGTAGCCAAACTCCTCCGTTATTCTGGTTTGATTTAAGCATAAATTCTCTTTGGTGGTGGAAGTGTTTTAAAAGCACCAAATCCTCCAAGATGTTTCACGGGGCTGGAAAGCCAGTTTGCTTGAGAGCAAGTATAATAAAACTGTGAATAACCACTTTTTCCTGCAATTTTCAGAAGGACAGAATATATTAGAACCACAAAAAGGATGTTACAGAGTCAGCAGAGCCAAAGTCATACAGAGTTTAACCTTCACTGAGCCATTCCTTCTTTTCTCTGGCAAGAAAAGTATTTTGTGGCTCTATATTGACCTTCCCACGAATAATCCCAAAGTTGTACTATCTGCTGAGCCTGGGGGTAACTCCATTAGTACTCACCACATCTTATTTGAATTCCACATACAGTCTGGTGTTTAAATTACAGGAAGACTTTGTGTTTAAGAGTTTCCGCATCATGCTGAGGCTTGGGAAAAAAAGCCCAGTTTGACACATAATAGGGATTGATGTGCTACTTCAAATGCTGGTGTTACTGGAAAGGAAGGAACTTCCACAGGAAGAGCAAGGGAAATTATACAGGAATCAATAAAGGATGCTAAAAATAGGGTTTGACTTATCTTCCGTGTGAGTCAAAATACCCTGCTCAAGGGCTGCACATGCTATATCTTGGCTGGTATATTCAGACTGCTTTTACTGGTGTACGGGCTGTCAGGATTTCCTCATAAGTCAATGGAGAGTGGCAAGTGTCCCTAGAGGACAGTTCATCCCACCTACCTAAGGACTTGCCAGCAAAAAAACCAGTGTGGTAGAACCTGCTGTTTCCCTAATTGCCATCAGCTTTACATGTTTAAAGTCAAGCATGTGCTTAATTACTTTCCCCTTGGAGAGCTGAGTGCCTGGTAGGATTGAACTGCTAGCTTAGAGGAAAACAAAGCAAATATTCTGGATGAACCTGATGAACAAAACTGGGGAAAGAGGAGAGCTTGCCTGCAAGGATGACTAAGTTGCAGGCTCAGAAGAGTAATAGGTCCTAGGAGAGGGAATATGATTAGTCAGGCAATTTACAGGTAATATGCTTTCATCATTTTCTACTTAGCATTAATTTTCTAAAACATCAGGAAGGAGTTTGTTCAGGGAGGAGGAGGGAGGCAGTGGACAGGGCTGGGCTGGTGTGGGGTTGCCGTGCTGCGCAGGGCAGGGAGCAGAGCTGTGGTCCATGAGCCCCATACTGGCTGTGCTTTTGCTTAGGAAGAAGGTCTCTGAGTTGCTCCCTCTTTCCATCCACGAGGCCCCTCTGTCTGCATCAGCACAGTGTGGTCGAGCTTGTGATGTTTGTGACTGGGGAAAAGGGAACCATCACAGCCACAGCCACAGCCACACATTAGAAAAGACTTTTCCACACATTGGAAAAGACTCCATCCTTTGGGATTCAAAGCAGGTGCTTCAGCTCAGAAGTTTACAGGCATTTTGACTGAGCAAAGTGGAAGTACAACTGAGCAGCATGAGTTTGGAGATGTTGCTGTTAACTAAGGTGCTAACAAACGGTGGAGCATGTGGCAGGGAAAATGACGGGTGTACAGCAAATTTTTTGGTGCAGGAAGGGTGTCACTCAGCTTTCTTCATATTTGGGATGTTCTTAATCTCCCTACACTGTAGTTGTTGTTATACCTGATCAGGTACCTGTTAACTGATCAGGTCTATCAATTAGGTGTGTTTTAAGCCCATATTTACATGAGCACTCTTAAAGAACAACGGATTATGATTGCAAAATACTTTAGCACCTAAGGTCCTTCTGCAAAATGTGAGAAAAGGTGGTTTGGGCACAATTAAGAAGATTTTTGTTTCTTAGACACTATTAAAGCCTATTACACAAACTCCTCAGGGCTTTCTACACTCCTTAATGGGGATTGTGTGACTAGATTGAGAGCAGTACGAGGCCCTAAATTTGAAGATTATAGCCTGTAACAAGTCACAGAAAGTTTTTAACATTGCCCCTGTTAATCAGCACCAGGCAAACATGTGCAAGAAATAATACCCTCCCTGTATGCCCCCTACCTCCAACCTCCCCATCTTGCAAGCAAAAAACTGCAAGCGCCAACAGATCTGTTCTGGCTTGTTTTATTTCACTTTGTGCTTATTAAAATGCTGTGTTTGCAGTTTGTATTTCTTGGCATGCTGTTATTTCAAGGACATTTAAACAAGAACAGCATAAGCAACAGGCAGACTGAGAGAGGAGCTTGTTTCACTCTGCATTTTGGAAGAATCTTATGTAGACTTATTATCACCAATTGCATTATCTGTGCTATTTATTTGCTTTCTATTTACTTAATTCGAATGGTGAACACAAGCTCAGCTATTTCCCTGGTTTTCTACTCATTTCCACTTTCAGTTTCTGAAGTATCAGCATGACAAATAGGGCAACAACCAAGTTAATCTACCAGAAGCAAATGTTTACAACAGAAAGAATTGTCTACATGGATGTTTTAGCTATATAACACCAAAAAAAAAAAAATCTTTATTAAAAACAGGGTTTGTAATGTGTGACTTCACTTCCTTTTTCTCCACAAAGCCAGAGCTTGGCATCCAAACTCACTAGTGTTGCCCGAATACTGCTTCCGTGGCTGGCCATTCCCTGGCTGATAGCTGCTCACTTATCCATGTGAGTATTTGACAGCACAGCATCAAAAAGTCCCTGCCGTCCTCAGTAGGTTGGTATCATCCAGAGCATTGCTGCAGGCATTTATGTTGCCTTGGTAAGGGCCCTTTTAAAAATCACTGCCAGTTCCCAAATAAGCTGTTCAGGAGTACTCAAATCAAGTTCTGTTACCTTCCATGTACAAGTTGTAGCTATGTCTGTACAAGTAAACTCAGTGTTCCCAGCTCCAGTCTGTGGCACTAAGTGCCCCATGACCGTATATTTAACCTCTCGTACCCACCAAAGAATGTGTCTATACCCAAGCTGCCTTCAGGAATGCTCCCTGGGTTAGGAGCTCTTTGGAAGATGCTCTTTGGCAGGAGCTATCCTAACAATTTAACAACCTTTTGCAATTGTTCAGCGATTTGAGCAAAATTGCTTAACAAGAGAACAAGCAAGTTATGTCTCCTGGGAAAGGTCCCTGTGGTTGTGTGCCTGGACTAGTAAACTGATGTCCGCATGTGACTGCTCATTGAAGCTTGGCTTGTGAGTCCCAGCCTGAGTCAGCCTCGTGCTCCTTGGTCCTGGAGCTGAACATTAGTAGGCAGGCAGCATAAACTTGGTGTAATCCACAAACTGCATAAACTTCACCCCTTGCTCTGTCCATCAGTCAGCCCACCGTGGGGCTCTATTTTGAAGGTCCTTAACAAATGAGCCCTTTTCATGAAGTACCAAACATACACAATTCCTAGGCAATCCATAAAACTTTTTCCTGAAGTCAGGAACCAGAGTTCACTTTACTTCAGTGGTGCACAGATAGCACCACAGCTCTGCGGATGCTCTGCTTCCCTGAATACATTGGTGCCTTCATACGGTCAGGATTCAGGCTCCAGTTGGAAGACATCAATTTTAAGATAAGCAAATTCATCTTCTGTGAGCTGTGCAAGGCAGTTTTAGCTCTGCTTATCTGCTGAAACCAAGCTGAGATGAGAAGGCAAAATGCTTCCTTTCCCATAGCCCACCAATGAGAACATTTTTCTTATCAGGTTCTTTTAGGAAAAATACACTATGCCTGTATATGATATTTGGATAGGAAACTTTTTTTTTTATGACTACTTCATCTCCATAGTTTATTTTCAACCTTTTTTTCTTTAAGCTCTGAGAATTTAGGAATTCTTCCCTCTTTGTCACTGGAAATAAACACCTATTCCACATGAGTTTGTGCTTCAGGAAGCAAAGATAAATCTACTATTCCCCTACACACTGGATATTGAATAGTGAAAGCACCCCCCTGTCAGTAGTAGAATCAATGATGAAATGTTTGACAAAGGTCAGTCAAAATTTTAATCCTATTACATGTAAAATCCAACATAATTCCAGGACAGGTGTCACTGTCTACCAAGAGCTCCCTCAACCTCACTGGAAGCCGTGGATGTCTTTCCTATTCTCTACTGGGAAATACATGTTAGCCATCTTCTAACAGGGAAGCTGGAGTGACAGTTAATCACTCCACAGTGAACTTAATGTAGGTGAGTGTGAAAGTGCTAAAATAAGGCAACATGTTAATCAGAGGAGAGCTTTGACGTCCTCTTAAAAGCAGAATTGGGAATACTTTATACCAGATTGCCCAAATAGGTAGGGAAATGGGAAAACCAGTCAGAAATTATTAGGACTTGGTGAAATGAACCCAAGATATTTGGACAGTAAGCTGTCTACATCCTGAAGAAAAGAAAATCTTTTGTCAGACAATGACAAGATGATGTGTAAATGCAGAAAAGAAGGGATGATAAAGTTTGGGGTAGTATGTTCTTAAAGGCCAGATGAAAATCTTATCATGGCATGGGGTCTTGTATCAAAGGCTCAGACTGAAATCTGAGGATATGAATACAGTCCAGTCTGATGTCCTACCACTGATGCTGAGGAAGACATGGAAGAGCTGAACAAGAGGTTGCAGTTAGTCACAAACAAAATACCAACACATGCATGCTACCAATAACAGAAATCCTCAGTCTTAAACTGTCAGTCAGATGCTGGTAATCTGAAAGTTGTGAACACAAATTGTCAGTGAAAAGGGGGAAAATAAAACCTCTGTGACTTTCTCTTCTAGGAGGAAGCATTCTCATATCATAAAGTCACTGAGCTATCCCCTGCTGAGAAAACAAAGAGGTGAATCAAAATTGCCCAGGCTGCCATGTGGAGAATACCAAGGTAAAAGTGAGGAGCTGTGTTATGCTGTATCAGACTGTGCCCAGCCATGGCAGTCATTTTGATGCCATCAGCAACCTCACAATGAAGTGATGGAGGACAGCAGAGGAGGCAGAATGTGGGGATCTGAAAGATGCAGTTGTCTAAAGCTTCCCATTGTGGAGTGAAACTGGGTGAAACCTGAAGGCATAAGACAAGAGTGTGCTAAGCAGCTTCAGAGAAATTCCTACAGGAAGAAATAAACAAGAAGGACCCCTGGCCTGGATTTGATGTTCTTTCATTTATTCAGGTCCATTAGCAGCCAAAATTGTCCTGCAGGCAGCACAGGCTCCTCTTCCTCACACTGCTTCTCTAACAGGAGAAAATGACTTGCCAATTGTCTTAAGCTCATTAGCAGCATAATTTCATGTTTAACTTTCCTACTACTATGTCTGAAGCCCAAATCTTGGCTTTCCAGTCCCTGTGAACTAACTCTTCCTGTTGTAAGAAAACCCTTGGCAGTGTATTAAAGGGAAAAGATACCTTTGGAGATTACTTCTTCTCTTTTTTAATTCCAGGAACATTTTCCACTCATTCACCTTGAAGCTGATTCAAGCTAGGAGACCTGGTCCTGCAATCTGGTGGATGGCTTAAAAACTAACAGGTTGTAAGGTACTGCTTATCTTCTCTGGAGTATTCAAATTGCACATGACAAGCTCAGTGACACAAGGTTCACTAGTCTTGTTTTATATTTATGCCTGTCACCTACTCCCTCACTTAATCTAGTTCCAAAACACCTGCAACTGGTAGCACATTTTCCAAAACTAATTTAAAATAGCAAAAGTAGACATTTCCCATGAGAATCCCCAGGAAGAAAAATGTAGGGTTTATCAGTATTAATTCTTAGCTGGCACTTCTTCCCAAGAATTATTGTTCCCCTAAGAAGTGGTTTTGAGGCAACTTTACAACATAACTTAAAACATGTTGCATATTACTCCGATCTCATACTTTTAATGAAAAGAGAAGACCAGCATCCAGCCAAAGCATAATTTGTACTTGTCTTGCTTACGGCTGTTTTATAGACTACAACCTTTGAAAGAAAGCGCAATCCTAGCTGGAAAGGACTAGGTCCAAGCACATATTTGTAGCTGAAAGCGAACAGTAAAAATTGATCCCTGATGTAGCTCTGCTATTGCAGCGTTAATGAACTTCAACCTAGAGAACCTTATCTTGGCCATGTTACTTTCCCAGTTGCCCCAAGTGATAGATGGTGCATGTCCACAGCTGTTGCACTGTAAGTAGAACAGCCACGCAGCCTGCAGTCACTGAAAAAGGTTAGGAATTAATACAAAAGGGAAAAAAAAAGTAATCAAGAACTAGCACCAGCATACAGTGCTGCTCCTCCTGGTGTGCTCTTCTGGCTTCTAGCAGCTAGCAGCACAGAGGTTTCTAGAGTCAAAGGATGTATCTGCAGCTCTGTGTTTATTAGCCTTGATAGCCTTTCTTCCATGAGCCTAACTGCTTTTGAACTAATTTAATCTTTTAGCCTTCACAGCATCCGGTGGTGTCCCACTGTTTAATGATGTGCTATGGGAAAAAAATACTTTCTCTTCTTTGCTATAAGCCTGCTATTTGATAATTCCATCTGAAGCTTCCAAATTCTTGTGTTATGACAAAGTTCTAATAATTATTTCTTATTCACCTTCTTCATTCACTAAATGATTTTATAACCTTTTCAGTTTATCTTGTTTCTCCAGACTGTGAATCTTTTGCTCATCTTCTGTAGTGGAGAAGCTGTATTACACCTGTAGCCAGTTTTGTTGGCCCTTTCTGCACCATTTCAAATTATACTATGCCATTTTTGAGAGCTGAGACTAGAACCACACACCAGATATTTAAGAGGGACTCTCACTGCAGGTTTATATAATGCATTGCTGAAGCTTTGCCCTTCCCCTCCTAATAAACCCAATAAAGGAGTTGATTTGTCTTTTCAAGGACTACTGAATCAATGTCTCAAGAGGATGTTGTTTTAGAAACCTGGTACTAAGTCTCTGCACAGTGATTACCGAAATGGCCTCACATATTCCTTGCTGCTTCACATACTTTATACTGCTTTGCATTTAAAAGAAAAGTCGCTGGAGCTGCTTTTCAGGTGCAAGCTTGCCAGCAGGAATTCATAATAGAGACTACCTGCCATACACAGCCAACGCACACGAAACAGGGTGCTGAGGGAGCAGACCAACCGCAGCAGGCAAGATGAGTAGCCCACCACAGGTTCAGGTTGTCTGGCATTCCCTGGCACAAGATCCTGCCTTTGTTTCCTTACGGCACTGCTAAAAGTGAGCAAGCCAAAATCTTCCCCCAGTGCCTACCTCAGGCTAGTTTAGTCTTGTTGGTAGTTGATTTCAGTTTGGGATTTTTGTGGTTTGGAGGGGGTTGTTTGGAATTATTTTGAATTTTTTCTCCCAGGCAAAACAGCTCCGCCAAAGAAGAGGCCAAGGAAGAGGCTAGGGAATGTACCTCTTATCCATATTTAAAATAAATAAGTTGTGTGATCTTTCATTTGGAAATTACTAATGTTAGCAGGATTTGAGAAAAAGACTGTATTCATGCAGTGCTTCGCTGAGTAGAATTCTGGCATCGCCACTGACATGCACCTAATTTTTAACAAACCCTTAGCCTGTGAGGAGTCCTAGTTTGCATGACCTTCGGAGATCTGAATGGTTAAAGTTGTAAAGAAACCCCTCTCCCTACATTAATCATGCTTAGCTCCTGCAGGTTAAGCTAGGCCTAAGCACCCATGGTGGCCCATCACTCCTGCAAACAGCAGGAACCTCAGC